TACTGAGCTACCGCCTGCAGTGCCTTATCGCCGGCTGGTGTCAACAACGAGAACACACACACCCTGTATACACCAAAACTACAAGCGTTCACCGCACACGCGTCGCCGCCGCTTTTAAGCTTTTGTGAAATTGCTTTCTTTTGCCGCGGAGAACCGCCTTATTTTAACTACGCGCCTGAAATCCTTCCAGGCGGGCGTACACAATATCAAGCGTTTCGAGAAATGCCCTTGGAGTAGAACTATGGGAAAATTCGGAGCCCGCGATGTCGATATCGTCGCCGTTGTGTTAGTACGCCGTCGCGTGCTGCAGTCCCCCGTTGGGGGGGGGGGGGGGGGGGGGGGCGGTCTTACTACGATAACATGGCGACAGCGTTTACAGTCTATGTATTTACGCGAGGCTCGAGTATTTGGGGATAATGCTGCTGGTTGGTGTGCCCCTTTGTGCCTGATATTATCGCCCGTGACGCCAGCGAGTGAGATGGCGACAGGCATGACTGCTCAGTAAACAGGCGTCGGCGGCCATGTTTTGCTGGTTGAAGCGAACCCCCTTGTCCTTGACAGCGAGCGGGGAAATGCGAAAAAAAGATTGTATCGGCCGTTTTGCCAGAACTAGCGACGAGTGTCGTCTGCGGTTTCCGGCAACTATTTTGCACTAATCGTGAGCTTAGCGAGGAAATGATTTTTGCTAGCCACAGAACACTACCACGCAGAAAGGGAATGCTTGAACATGTTTTTGTTCTGGATATATATCAGGGATATATATGAGAGAGAGAGAGAGAGAGAGAGATGAAGGTAGAGCGGAAGAGGGAATAGCATATAGTGTCGCAGGAGAACGAAGTAAACAAAGTTGCTAGTGGCCGATGGCTGCATGACTTTTTCTCGGATCACTAGTCCGTAATATGATACCTCTTTGTACACAGTAGTTTCTCCTTAATTTAAGTGTGTGAACTATTTCTTTAGTGATCATTGGCCTCATCTGAATAAAAATATATAAAAGATGTGTGTTGGTTTCATGAAACTGGAACTCAGAGTCAGTTCTTGTATAAAACACTACTAAGTGTAGGCATCGAAAAAGAACCCTACTTTGGGGAGTTGTATCTTCTTTCTCAATAAAATGATGCAACATGTTTTTAATGGAAATGAATGCCGAAATAGAGTATAACAGGTTACCTAAATTTAAAAAAAAATCGAGGGTGGTGTTTTTTTTTTATTCGCATCGGAATTTTTTTTTGTTTGATTTTTTTTCCATGTTTGACTAAATATATCCTAACTATTGTATCACACAGATACCTTAGTTATTTTTTAAATATTAGCTATATATTAGTAGAATAATATCTGCAAATTATATCATAATGATTAAATTATTTCATGAGATACAGACCTCCAAAGTTTGCCATTTGTCGTTCGAACAGGCATGTTTGTCAATTTTTAGAAAATAAATAAATTTTAAATAAATATGATTACTTTATATTACAAGCAAGCTATACCCATAGTTTGCGCCTAAAACGTATTAGAGTTCTCCTAATGTTATCGCTTTAGTAATTCACTCTCAAACGGGCCCCCTCCATCAGTGCGCGTTAATGCAACTGTCCACCACCTCATGCCTTACGATTTTTCCTGTCCCCAAGTATTTTTTCTAGTCAAAACTAAGTTTGGATTCGTTCATACCAGACACTAGACAATAACATATAAAAATATCAGTTGATTTGAAAATGTCGACTAGCCATCCTTTGGTCGATCTTATCTGAAATCACCCTATAATTTCAGAGTGGAAAACACACTTGGAACTAGTAATCATTCAGACTACCTTTTCGCCACCCTTTGCCGAACTGCCCCGCTGACGCTAATGTGGCTTGCACCACCGATGCATATGTCAACTTCATTGCCAAACACCTTGTTCCAAAAGCCATGACTTGTGCGGAAGTGGTTTCTGCCACCGCTGTCCATCCACATCTACAGCAAGCAATTCCTGCCCTCAAGAATCCTGCCAACTGGAGCAACCCATCGCTGAGAGATTTTGCATCAATACAACACGAGCTCTCTCTGACAAACAGCGGCCTACTGCTGAAAGGCAATTGCCTCGTCTTAACTGCTGCTTTCCAACACACAAGCAATATCCCTTTCACATGCTAGCCACCAGGGGACAACCAAAACGAAAGCTCTTATAAAGCAAAAAATTTGGTTTTCACTTCTAGACAACAAGGTGCAAGCAACTCTAAAGAACTGCATGGCGTGCTAGACCACTATCAAGCATCGACAAGCTGAACCCGTCACCATTCCAGCAAAAACCAACCAGGCTTGGAAAACCGTCTCACTTGATTGTGGAGGACCGTTCCCTAGCGGAAAATACTTAATGGTCCTAGTAGATGATGCTTCGCGATATCCTATTGTGAAGATAATATCATCACTCGCGGCCCCAACAGTAATTAACAACCTTATGAAGATCGTTAGTATATTTGGAATCCCGAAAATTATCAAGACGGAAATGGACCTCCATTCCAGAGCCACGATTTCAAAACTTTCGCTCAGTCATTAGGATTCCGCCATCATCGCATTGCACCGGGCTGGCCAGAAGCAAATGGTGAAGTCGAGCACTTTATGCGCACGCTCAAGAGATTCATACAAGCGACGACACTCAAAAACAACTGGACTACCGAGTTGAGTAAGTTCTTAATGACATATAGAGCAACCCCTCACTCGACAACAGAACAAACACCATTTAAATTACTCTTCGGGCGACCCATGGGCTACATGCTTCCGGATTCAACGTATAACAACGCTGAACAGCAGATGTGGCAGCACACAGATCTTACGAATCGCAAAAAAACAGAAGGTCTACGCAGACGAGCACAGACACGCAAGAACTCACAACCTCAAGGTAGGAGATTTTGTTATCTGCAAGCAAAACCAGACAAATAAACTGATTCCTCCGTATGACCTCAAGCCATACACGACCACCGAGGTTAACGAAGCACGAATCGCTGCACGAAGGGGTCAAACAACAATCACTAAAACTCTAGCCTCTTCAAACCTGTTCCTGCTTGCACAAAACCAAGAAGTGAAGAAACTGATGACACAGATGCCACATGGTTCACCACCAATCCATACGAAACTGACGCTGATAAGACGCCTCAAAACTACCAAGCTCTTGAACCTGATGAACCCCTTGACGTGTTGGGGGGAGAAAGAAAGCAGCTGCCCGCTGAAAAACCGGGTCCCTCAGGTGCGGGACGACCAGTTCGTACTAGACGCCCATCAGACAGACTCAGAGACTATGTCTGTAACTAACCAGAGTTTATTTCTACCGAAAGTTATTTCGCTCCTTTGGGGGGAGTGATGTAGTGGTTGGACTTTGTTGATAGATTGGGGACAAAGAAGAAGACGAAATAAAAGGTGGAGAACAGTGATGGTCGCCAATGCTTGGCTCCAGTCTCTGCCGCCTTTCTAATTATTATTCACCACTTCAGCAACTCTACAGTGGGGTTTCACTTTGACTTTTGAACTGATATGAATATCTTCGAATGTTTCCGAATGCCCAATTTCTATTTTCTGTTTGTGGAAAGAGTGGTGTTACGCCACTTTTGGAATAATGATTTTAAACGCCCCTTCGCTCTCAACAGGAATCTCCGTCACACGTCCCGCTTTGTCATCCCCCGTTGTGTAACTCACTACAGTAAAATATTTCGTTCTCATTATGTGCCATCTGGCTTCAATAAAATACCCGATTGTTTTTTTGAGTGTACTGCAAAAAGAAAATTGAAAAAAAAAAGTGTTGATGAATTCATTTCGTGTTCACTCTGTACTGTTTCGTTTTACAAAGTGTTCTTTGTTTTGCTTTTTCTATTTTTGAGAGCTTTCGCTGTCCGAATTGCTAGGTCTTGTCCCACAAGCCTCCATTGGCTTGGACAAGCCCGTATTTGTACAGTGCCAGGGAACAGATATGGAATTATTATTATTATTATTATTATTAGTAGTAGTAGTAGTAGTATACTCCTTTCTTCTAAACTCATCGAGCTTTGTTGATTGTATATGTAAACCCACAAACCATGTTGGTACAACCACATATTTGGGAGTACTGTTTGATAGTGATCTCTCCTGGAATTCCCACCTTTGCCATATTGCTAAAAAACTGCGTAGTGTTTCATGTTTGCTTTATTCAACAAAAATGTTTTTGCCTTTCAAAGTACGAAAAATGATAGCAAATGCTCTGGCTTATGGTGTGCTGCGCTATGGTATTAAACTGCATGCTAACTGTTCATTGGGTTGGCAAAACAAATTTGACTGTATTATAGAGTGAATTCTGAACGCTATAGCATACGGTAACAACATCCCATCTGACAATCTCTTCCCTTTCTTACATCTCCCTCGTTTTTCAACACTCTTCGACAGATGTGTCATAGAGAAGCATTACTGGAATAGTCCTTTTAATATTTCACGTACCACTCCGCGTTCATTGAGGGACAGTGAGCATTTTGCGATCCCCAGAGTGTACACTAAATATGGAAAAAGAGAGAGCTCATTTTATGTTCCTGATATATTTAACAAATTGACAGTACCACTCCGTAATATAAACTCAAAACGACAGTTAAAAACATGTTTGCGTACAAAATGTTAGATACCGCTACTGTGTTAGCTTATTTTATTGTGTTGGCTTTTTTCTGCTGCGTTGTAGTAGAAATGTTTGCGTTTTTGTTTTGTGCATTTGATGTGTGTTGTAGTGTTTTGTTGTTGCGATGTATGTTTATATTTCGACTTCTTGTGTTGTTTTCTTTTACGCCGTTGCCGGGCAACGTCCCACAAGCCATTACAGGCTTTGACGGACCCGTTACCGGTGATTTGTATCTTAAGACTGCCAATAAAATTATTATTATTATTATTATTATTATTATTGTTGCAATTTTGTTTTGGTTACTAGTCAATGTAATTTACGGCAGTTTTATACTTCTTAAATTAAATTAGTTGCTCTTCGCTACATACATTTTATTTATTTCTACTTACAGTGTTTCTGAAAGAGCTCGGCAATCGAAGAACCATGCGCAACTTTGTTCCACTGATTCTGGCAGTCTCTGGTAAGCATCTTGCTCAGCTCACATCTGATGCCCATAATTCACTATCTACCCATCTTTCAGGTGTCTTCCTTTTCGACCAAGGACACTCGTCTAATCAGGACAGCCCTGAAAGCTCTGGAATTGTAGTCACGCCTCCGGTGAACATCGAAGATGACACTAGTTCATCCCGGTCAAGAGGAGGTTATCTAACTTCCAAACACAGTAATCAGGACCTGGACCTAAGTTCTGAAGCAATACGTTTGAAGGACAGGCTAAACAGGACAAAAAGGAGCTGGGGGGATATGGGTGCTTCATATGAAGTCTACACAAATCGGGAACGTAACGGAACTTCTGGGTACTATTTTCCCGCTATCATCGCAAGATACCTGGATGATATTCCCTCAATTTCGGCTCTCTTGAATCCCGACCAGAAGCTTTACCTCCTCGTCCACGGATGGCTTGGCTCGTCGACATCCTTGTCAAATATTTCAAACTCTCCGTCTTCTTCGAGATTGGTCAAGGATGAGGAACTGGCACAAATTAAGAACGAGCTCCTACGGGTGGTAAGTTAGAACCAACTTTTCGCGTAGAATTCTAAAAATGTATAAAGCGGTTTTACATGACGCACGCCGGCTGATGAACTTCTGTCGTACGCCTTTCTCTGCGCCGAGGCAATGTTTTTCAAATAGCGCGTTTAATTTTTGTTTATTCTTTTTTTTTGTGGTATAATTGATTGCGTTTGTGTGAGTTGTCGAGAATACAAAAAAGCACCGACTGGAATTCGGTCTGTGTACATACCAGTCTTTATTTAAACGTCAGACGAGCAACGGATGGAGAAGTTGACTTTTCGGTAGCAGAAATGACCGCTATCGATGGCGTCAAGGCCACCCCAAATTAATAACTAAAACAGAATAGGCATTGCTTTTTGTGGCCCCAAATACGTCTCTAGTCGTGCTTACTGAGTTCTGTAATCGGCAGAGACACTCGCCATCCTTGTGCCTCATGCGAACACCAGAAACAACGCCAGTAACTAAGCATCTGGATAAACAAATAATGGAAAGAGCGTAGACAACATGGCGAAACGCTGCTTACCGCAAGTATAGTGCCTGGAACGGGTCTCCGACTAGTGCGTTTACCGCGCCCAAAAAAGCGGTCTACCGATTTCCGCCTGATGACGTCATAGAAGTGTCATCCTGACGTCGGTCGCGATCCTGGCGGCGTCCCAATAGCTTTGGTTGATGTGGCAGACGCCTGTTCTGCTGCAGGTCGCTCTTTAGTGTTACAGTTCACGGAGGCGTCAGAAGCCAGAGGTTGGCACGCCACGACGACAGCGACACTCGCGTTCGCTCGAGCTTTTCTCCAGCATTTCTACGGCCAACCACCAGGAATGGGATTTCTGACAGCACGACACTCTAAATGGATGGATGTTATTGGCTCTATCCTTGTAGCGGGAGGTAGCTTGCGCGCTTAGACTAAGTCTAAAAAGACTAACATGATTCCTCCCGCCCTTCTAAGCCAATATTATCCACCTAACAATAACCAGGCAGTGTGGAATGTCACCAAGATGACTTCCGGTGGATCGGGCAAGAAACTATAAAACCTCATCCTCCCGCCGCTTCCGTCCGGCGAAGGAGCTGCCAATTTTCTTTTTGTAAAACCTTTTCGGCGTTAGCCCAGCAATCTCAACACTGTCCTCCAGTGGGACACTGGGGGACAGTGTTGAGATTTTCGGCCGGAGCCACGCGGGAGGGAGTTACAATTTTGCTTTGTCCCGCCTGTCGCGAGTGTTGCTCGTTAATAATAATATTAGTGATAACTTTGTTGCAGATAAAAATACAAATGAGGTTCGGGTCACCCCAAGTCTCAGGGACTTGTTGGGCTGTACCCGACAAGTCTCTTTGACTGTTAGTTGTGCATCATTCAAGTTTCCGTGGACAATTTCCACCAATCTTCTAATCGCCTCTTTGCGACTGTAATCCTTTTATCTTCCGCCCTTCAGTCGTCGCCAGCGAAACCCAGGGCCCCGGCGAAATTCGTTACCTCTTCAGGGAGGGCAGGGCAAGGCCCCGTGCACTTCAAAACCAAGTGATCTAGCTTCTCTCTCTCATTATGGCAGGCAGCATATAATGCGTCTGTCTCCTGAAATTTACCCTTTACATCCTCGTCCTCAAAACTCCCCTTCTTGCTTGAAACAGTAAAAAACTTTCCAGTCAAATCTGAAACATTTTCCTTCCTTATGTCCGTTTTTCTTTTTGTCTTGTACATTGTTAAGCTGATTTTTCCTACTTTCTTACCTCCCACATTTTGTTTCTGCCCTTTTTACTCCCTTCTCCACTGAAATAGTCTGCTCAGACCAATCACTTGTGTGTTGATATTTAAACGTAAGCTTTCGGGTCTGGTTTGTTTATTTCGTGTTTTAACTTTTCATGTATACTTTAATACCATCCGTGCCCACCGCGTATCGTACATTTCGGTCAGCTTTTGTTCAAATTTCAGCTTACTAATTGCCTCTCTGCTGTCAAAAGACGACCAGCCCATGTCCCCCTATACTCTCTTATTTGTTGTCTTTCCATGTGCTCCCAGTGCCAACCTGCTTACGATTCTTTGTCAAACTTTTAATCCTGATTGGACCTCTGATTTTATGCACTGTACCACATTGTCAAAAGTAAGTCCTGGTACCATCAGTCATTTTCACATGCTCTGACCCCTTCATAAATATTATAGTTTCATAGCGCCTTGGGATTCATAATAGGTAAATTTATTTTCCTTTTTCTACTTATTTTATCCTCGTGTTCCTCTAGATAATTTCTTCCCTGAATGAGCCAGACTCCCACACATTTGTATTTTTCTACAGGGTTGTTAATAATGCCTTGTACTCTCAGGGGTTTCCTCTTCTTGTCGTTCAACACCATTACTCCAGATCTGTCACTACTAAAGGTCATGTCCAAGGTGTCCTCTTCTTCTCGACGTATTCCAGCTAGTGCATTTGACGTTTCCTGGTTATCTGCCATGAGAACTATGTCGTCCGCATACATCAGTCCTGGTATTACCGGTACTACATTTCTTCCTACTTCGATACAACTCTCATCAAAACCAAAATTTCTCTGCTCTAATTTCTTTTTCATTTCACTGAGACATATCATGAAGAGCAGAAGTGACAGTGCACGGCCCTGCTGAGCCCTTTTTTTATTGGTGTGGGTTTTGTAGTTGTTGCTTCCACGTTATAACTGCCGTATTGTTCGTGTACACCTGCTGAAGAAACCTAATGAAATTTGCATCTAAGTTAAACTCTTTCGGCTGACCCCAGAGTTTTTCCTGGCTCACTTGTATCGTACGCTCCCCTGATGTCTCAAAAAAGCTAACCATAAAGGAGTTTGGTCCTTCATTGCAATTTCAATTCATTGTGTGGCGACGAATAAGTTATATTTTAGTCTTCTATTTCTTCGGAACCCGTCTTGGAGCTCACCCAGTATTTGCATATTTGCTGCCCATTCCTCCATTTTTTTACTTTTCTGTCTGCATAGCTAATCTTTGTCTCAGCGGAATGGTCGAAATCGTCAAGATTCGTGGGCGTTTGGAGTCTTCGTTTGAGCTCGTCGAATGACCGCTGGTGTTTTTCTGTCCACTCGAACTATGCGGCGTCCTTCGTGAGGTTCTTCAGCAGTGCGGACAGCTTGTCGAAGTCGCGAACAAACCTCCTGTAGCAGACACAGAGTTCGAGAAGTCTTCTCACGGCCTTCTTGTCGGACGGCACTGGTCTTCTCGGGGTCAGGAAGAACATCTTTGTTGTTCACGACGTGGCCAAGGAACTTTAGTTCACCATAGGCGAACGGACACTTTGCTGGCTTGAGTGACAGGCCGATGGTCTTGATGGCTTGAAGCACTGCTCAAAGTCGTCTAAGAAATTCACCGAAATCCGTGAAAATAGCACGACATCGTCCAGGTAGACAATGCAGCTCTGCCATTTTAGACCTGCGAGCACGGTGTCCACGACACGCTGGAAAGTGGCTGGTGCTGTACAAAGTCCGAAGGGCATCACTTTGAACTTGTACAGTCTGTCGGGAGTGACGAAGACAGTTTTCCCGGGGTTAAGTTCGTCGACTTCAATCTTACAGCAGCCACTCTTCAGGTCCGTCAACGAAATATATCGGGAATGGCGCGGTCGGTCTAACATATCGTCGATGCGGGGGAGTTAATAGACGTCCTGTTTAGTCACAGCGTTCAGTCGACGATTTCACGCAGAACTTCAGGGTTCCGTCTTTTTTTAGAAGGATGATGGGGACGCCCATGGACTTCTTGAGGGTTCAATGATGTCGTCGTCAAGCATTTCCTGGACTTGGTCTTGAATCACTTTCCTTTAAGGAGACTCGTTTCGGTGACTGGTGTACAGCGAGCGCGTCGTCGTCAGTAATGATGCGGCGCTTCGCTACCGTTGTTTGTCTCCATCTTGATGCTGTATCAAAACACTCGCGAAATTCGCTCAGCAGGTCAAGGAGCCGTCCTCGCTCAGTAGCTGGAAGCTTCGGGTCGCAGTCAATTTCCGAGGGCGGCGTTCTCTCGTGCTGTGGTGAAGTGAAGCCGCAATCACTGCACTTCAGAAAGTGCAGTGATAGCGGCTGAGTTCTCGAGTTCATCGATGTGGCCAAAAGCGATACCTTTCGTAAGGTGCTGCGGCTATTGTCGGAAATTTGTAACCAGGACCATGGCGCGCCCGTCTTGAAGTTTTGTTGCTCCTTTGCTCGACACCAGTTCCTCTTTCTAGAAGCAACTGGAGGCTTCCCTCGTGCAGTACTTCACCGCAGAAAGTTTCATTGATCGCAACGTGTACGCAAACACTCGACCGCGGTGGTAAGTTCACGTAGTTTGCGAGGACTCGGACAACGGATGTCGTCGATTTGGGTTCCTCCGGTGGTGGAACAGGTTTTCGTAGTGTCAGCCGGTTTGCTCCGAGGTCAATGACGGTGCCTACTCTCAAAGAAAGTCCATTCCGAGGATAGTATCATTCGCACAATCGTTCAGAACGACGAACTTCACAAGGCTCGTCTCACCGTGCACGGATCTCGACGTGAGCAGTACATATCCCGACTGGTGTCATGAGGTGCTTACCAGCAGTTCGGGTGTGAGGGCCTTGTCACGGCGTTGTCACTTTCCGAAAACGGCGTGAAAGCCTCCCACTCAAAATGGAGTAGTCTGCTCTTGTGTCCACAAGTGCCGACGCGTCGTGGCCGTCGATGGTCACGTTGAGGCCGTTGGGCACCTTTGCAGAAGCGTCGTTCCGATGCACATCGTCGGCCGAGTGGGAGGCCTCCGGCGTCTTTGGAGGCACTTTAAGTCGCCGGCCTATGGCAACTCCATCTCAAGAGGTTTTCGCGCTTAGTTTTCCCGGCGCGACAGGGGCGACAGGCTCTCACAACGGGGTCGGTGCACCGGCGAAGCTTGACGTTGTGGGGACGGCAACAGGGACCCGCGGCGAGGTGCAGGCAGGCGAGACCTAGGTCGTCGGAGGTACTCTTGAGTCTCCCGCGGTCGCTTACCGTAGCGTGGGTTTGGGTCATTCGTGTGG